GCTTATTCTCCTTGCTGAAGGTATTGATTACCACTTTCTATATTCTGCTCTGCTTGGCTTTGATTCAGTCACCATTCCCTGCCATATCAGGCAGCCCTGATCTGGATTTGGCATTTGTCTAACCCTTCTGGATGAACCATTAAATATACACATTACAAATTAACTAAGGCATAAAACATATTCTCAAAGAATAGAAAGAAAACCCAGTGTTTTCTTTGACCAATCTCTAAAATTCTGGATAAACAATATTCATTTAGCAAAATTTCAAATCTCACATATATATCTGAAAGCCACTCCAAATTTGATAAGACCCATAAGACATGAAGAAATAGTTTGCTTAAAACCATTTCCACAAAAACCTCAAAATAGAGCACAGGGTCTGACGAAATAGTTCAAATAGTTAGCAATAGGCACAAGAGCAAAAGAACATAGGAAGTACTGAGCAGGAAAGATGACTGGGTTTGGATCAGATCTCCTACACTTGCTAACTGTATAACTGTAGATCAGCCATTAGAATTCCACTTAAAATAACTGCAAACAATTTAAAATACTTGGGATGCTATCTGCCAAAACAAAATCCAAGAACTATATGAACACAATTAGAAAATATTTTTCACAAGTTAGAGCTAAACAATCAGAAAAATATTAATTGCTCGTGAATAGGCTGAGCCAATATAATAAAAATAATTCACCTAAATGACTCTATTTATTCAGTGCCATATCAAAGTACCCCCCCAAAAAATTATAGAACTAGAAAATAATAACAAAATTAATCTGGAAGAACAAAAGATCAAGGAAATCAATGAAAATAAATGCGAAGGAAAGTGGCTTAGTAGCACCAGATTTCAAACTATATTATAAAGCAATAATCATCAAAACAATCTGGTACTGGTACATGGAGTGGTGGATCAGTGGAACATATTAGGTACACAATGCACATTAGTAAATAAATGTAGGAATCTAGTGTTTGACAAACTTAAAGATTCAAGATTTGGTGACAAGAACACACTATTTGACAAAAATTGCTGGGAAAACTAGAAAGCAGTTTGGTAGAAACTAGGTACAGACAATAACTCAGACTTCAGAATGATTAAATAAACAAAGATATGTCTAAAATGCAAGCCTCAAGACCTGTAGAGGAAAGTTTTTGTTTTCCCAAAAAACATAAGGGACAATTTTTTTGGGCTTTTGAATGTAAAAGGAACTTAGACACAAAGGTAGTAATTTAATCAAAAATTTAACCTCTAAAATCCAAACATGAGCAGAGCCTTCATAAATCCCTGGGAAAACACATCTTAATTTAAAAAATAAAAGTTTTTGGGAGGCAGTTAGGTGGCTCAGTGGATAAAGCACCAGCCCTGGAGTCAGAAGGACCTGAGTTCAAATTCAGACTCAAACACATGGCACTTACTAGCTATGTGACCCTGGGCAAGTCATTTAACCCTGATTTCCTTGCCAAAAAAAATATAGTTTTTGAAATTAGAAAAAGTCATTCAAGTTGTTTCCCCATGTGAAAAAGGACTGTTTTAAACTTGGAGTGAGGGCACTATGATAATTAAGTCTTCTAAAGGACAGAGATAACAGGTGGTACATTATTTTAATAGCAGTCCAAATGACTTACAAGGAGTTTACACACTCACTTCAGAACCTACTATCAATAGCCTCCTTTTCTCCTTTTCCTATCCATTTACTCTTTTTCCCTTCACTTCTTTGACAAGAGACCTGACTCTTGTTCAGATTCATTTCTAAGAAGAATTAGGAAACTAAATATGAAAACTCTGAAAAAGAAGGAAAAGTATGTGCTCCTAGATCAGCCTATTTCCATAAAAGGGAGCATGAGCTTCAACTCTGCCCAGATGATGCAGTCCTGCCGTTCAACACAGATATTTCAGAAACAAGACTAAGTGACAATGATTTCTTTCTTCAAGAAAAATGGAGCCCATAATACCAAGATCCTAATAAATTTTGCTTAGATTGAATTAAATTGCACTTCAAGGCTAGAAGTTTACAATCAGAGAGAAACTTTATCAGAACATCTGGGCTGACCCCATTGAAGTGGAGTGTTAGCTTCAGCCTTGAAGCATGCCCTTCATATCTTCTACTCTAACCACTTCTCCTTTCAGCTGTTTCTGTACCCTCTTTTGAGTCCATCTCTATCCAAGTGTTTGACAGTGCCTGAGACATAGAAGGTACTTAATAAATGTTAGTTAGCACTTTTTCTTCTCCTTTCCCCATTAATAGATCAGAATATAGAATATAGAACTGAAATATATTTCTATAATGGTATTTAGAATCACCTGTTTCTACTTCTCTTCCCAGCCTTTCTTCCCCTCAATCTCAAACCTAGCATTTTGGAGGGGTTTTTTGTTTTTCTTTTTGTTTTTATTTAATATATAAAGTAATCTCAAAATCACAAGGCAGAGGAAGACTAAAACTCTTGTTTCCTGACCCTAAGGGCAGAGTTTTTGCTCTACCTCTTGAATAGAAGTCTTATTTCCCAAATAAAACTTCAAGTATCCCAGTGGGCTACATTCTATTTTATGCTTGCTCATTCTCTTCCTACCCATAGCACTCTGACTTGCTTATAGCTCCTATATTAATATTTGATAGTTAACTGGTCCCCAACTCTTAAGATTGTTTTGGAAACTACTTGCTTAAAGTTAAGGTTTTAAGACTGTTTCATATTACTGAGTTTTAGGACAGTTCTTACTGTAAAGATAATTTTGATATCCCTACTGGATGTAATCAGTATTTATTCAGTTCCTTGTGATTTAATGGGTATCTTTGAATGTTAGTGAATTAAACAGAATGGGATGAAGTTTTAGTTATGTTAATGCTTTTAAAATGAGTTACTGTTAATTAAGCATGTATTGATTATATTAATTGCATTTGATTTATAAGATCATTCCATGCTATATTAGGTAGGCCTCTTCTAAGAACATGTATTAATTTGTGTTAAGGACTTGCAGCAAGTACACCTCTAGAAATCATTACTGCCACTCCTAAGTGACCTTGGCTTTAAAACCACTACTTGCTTGGTCCCCTGGCTACTGCTGGCAAATTACAGATGTTTGATAGCCTGTGGAAAGCCACTGCTGAGATGAGCTGTAACTGATGACCTGTAAAAGGCCTGCCGACAAAAGTGGTTGTGGTTAACTTGGACATTGTCCTTAGACAGTTATGAGAAATCCCCCTTACATACACACACACTTCTGAAGATTAGCCTGTTATTGTATTAGGAGTCTCCACACTTCTGAAGGAACCTCCCAAGGACTTCCCAAGGATCTACAAAATCCCTCAGTCCCTGAGCACTGAGGTCCTTGGACAAGAGGTAGGTCTTGGATCTAATTGCTTAGGGACCCAACTCTGCATCTCTCCCTAATAAATTGATAAGTTAAAGAGGAAGGTGAAAATAGCTGGAGTCAGGATTATGTATCTTCCACTAAAGATACTGAGAATGTTCTCCCAATACCGGATAACTAGGTAGATTTTTAAGGATCTTAAATAATTCCATTGCTTTCTCCTCCACCAATGCCATGAATTGCAGGCTTATCGAGACATTCCTGGGAAGTCCTGCCCATGAACATCCTTAACCCAAGGAAACTGGGGCTACAGGCTGAATTATGGAGTTCCACTTAAGAAATGGAACAGTTGGATACATATGGAGAAAAAGAGCAGAAGGGGTGTTGTTTGTCCACTGGGAAAAGCAGGCAATCAGGACAGCAGCTTAGGAGTGCAAGGACCAAGATACTGTGACTAGGCAAAAGAAAATACCAGATAAAACAGAGTACTAATAGGCAATTCATTTTATTCTTGATAGTTGAATATTTGCAGGAAATAATATGTTTCTGAAAAGCTTAAGAACACATGACAAAGCAAGTGGAGATATAAAATTGTAATATGCAAGAGAAGGCTTTTTCCTTCATCTCAGAGATAGGATGTTGATTTCTAACCCACATCTCTCTACTACGATTGTTAGTTGAGCAGAGAACAGCGCCTAAAAGTCAAGGGCCTACAGCCCATAGTCATAGAATTCCACCTCCATGACCACAGATTGGTCTCTATGTCTCCAGTAGCTCCAACAGGAGCTCATCAGTGCTTGTAGAACTGGAGGATACAAAGGCCACACACACAGAATCCGAATGGTCCAGTGCAGTTTAGGTATCCCTTCCCAAGTCCATCCTCTAGGCACAGAGTTAGGTTAAACCTCATGCTCGCCTTCTACCCCTAGTGGGAATCCCTTTCTTTGGGGTCCTTACCTGCTCACCATCTTTGTCCAGGTAGTGTGTAAGCTAAAGTGTTACAAGAATTTTTTTAAGTCATCTAATAATTCTAGTTCTGTTACACAACAACATATGTCATGGTAGATGCATGTCCTACCATTATCTAAATTTTAGCTCTGCTCAGAAGTGAAATCCTTACCCGCATATAGACTAAAAGATACTTCAAACTAGGCACCTCACTCCCTCTGTTTACTTATTTTTAAAACAGGGGAAACCATTCATTCTTTAATATGCCTTGAGATAGTTTAAAGGGGGGAAGGAGAAAAGCTAGAGTAATATCTGCCTTCCCCAGCCCTGCACTTCATGGATTTTATGCAGCAACAGATTCTGGTAAAGAATGATCTAGTATAAAAAGTGTTTGTGGGATTGAAAGGAAGAATTCTTTCTTGATTCTTCCTCCTATTTCTCACCTCCACCCCAAAAAATTATATTTATTTTATACATATTTTGGAATTTACTAATTTATGTACTTGCTGCTTTCCCCAGCAGAATGCAAGCTGCTTGTGAGAAGACTATCCCTTTCATAGCATTAGCTCCTAGCACACACCCAACACATAGTAGAGCCCTTAATAAATACTTGGATTGAACCAAATGGAATCTGATTGACCAGTCCCTACTGGGAATGAGCATAACCAGGAAGGAAGGCACAGCAACAGGTTTTAGCAGCACAAAGGATAAGGAGCAGCAGCCAGAGATAAACATTTCCATTTCTACTCTCATAGGCCAAAGACAGCAGGATCCACAGATGATTTCAGGAGAGCATTGGCAGCTTTGATGCATTCAACCAGGGAGGCATCTGTAAACACAAGAAGATGGACAGCTAGACAAATGCCAGGAAAAGCAGAGAAGCACATTCACTTCACCAGTCTGCATCCTATTCCCTTTCATCCCTCCTTCCTTTATTCATTCTTTTTCCCCTTCTTGTTGTTGTTATATCATTTCAGTAGTGTCTGACACTTTGCGAACCCATTTGAGGTTTTGCTGGCAAAGATATTCCAAAGTATTAGAAATTGCCATTTCTTTCTCCAGATCACTTTACAGATGAGGAACTGAGGCAAACAGAGCTAAGTAAGTGACTTGCTGAGGGTCACACAGCGAGTAAGGCTGGATTTGAACTCAGATCCTCCTGACTCCAGGGCCAGCCCTCTGTCCACTATACCACCTAGCTAACCCTACTCCCATTCTGCCCTCCCCCAACCATTTCTAGCTCTAGCAAACATTCATTAAGCATTTATTATGTTTAACAGAAGGCACTTCCATATCCCCACCAAGAGTTACACTCTGTCTCTTTTCTCATACCTTAAATTCCCCTTTCACTTTTCCTGGACCCACAAACACTTCTGAGGTACAATATTCTTGAAACCAGAGGAGTGAATAGCTGTTAGATCAGTCTCAGCCTAACCTGAGGGCATCTGTGGGAGGAGTGATGCTAGCAACCTGGCAGAAGGAATGTGAAGAGAGCCACTCTGTTGAGAATTCTTGATATCCCACCAGCCTTTCCCATAGGCATTTCTAACCTTCTCGTGTCTCCTCTATGTGTCTCACTACCTATGAGGCCTTCCTCTGAGTTGAAAGACCAAAAAAGTGGAACAGAAAGGAATCAGTCCATCAATCCCTCCATCTCCCACCCTAGTCAAGCTCATGAAGCTGTATCCTGAGGGAATAGCAAGTGTCCTGATGTATATGGAAAAAGGTCCTCAAGGCAGTATCCTTACCAGATCGAGCCTGGATCCATGCCACAGCCTTCCTTTCCAGGAGTTCCCATTCTTCTCTCTCGTCCCAACTGGAGCTGTGCATCCACAGCACAGCCAAGATAGTGGCCCACCTTGGGACATCTTTACTCTAGAGAATATACAGAACCCAAGGCCCCAGGGTCAGGGTACCCCAGAAAAACCACTGGAAGGTTCCTAGCCCCTCTAGGACCATAGAAATAAGTGATCCCAGATTGATTATCTACTTCTCCTTCTAGTTCCCTGTCCTTATTGCTCTCTTCAATGAACAAATGTTTACTGAGCACTGATACATGAGGAATTATCTAGCTTTAAGGGCTAGAAAGTATTTCCATCAACCTCTCTCAGTCACAGACCACACCTAATGGGCAATGGCTCCCATCACTCTGTCCAAAGCTGGATTGCTCTTCTTGCCCTCTTTCTCTTGCTCTTCCCCTCCTAAACATGCCACCCTATGCCTTCCTCTCTCTGGGACCTTACCTGATCAGGCAATGCAGCCAATGCACTCTGAATGCTCATTCCCAGGACTGAGGCCAGAGCTTCATCCAGTTCCCAGGACCCATCTGCCTTCTGGAGGGAAATCAGCTGCATAAGTGGAGACTTGGAGGGGATATGTCTGCGGGAATAGATATTAAACTTCAGCATCACTCACACCCCAATGGCAGCTGAGGGAAAATGTCATTCCAAATTCTTTTTTTTTTATTTATCATTATTTTTTTTGTGAGGCAATTGGGGTTAAGTGACTTGCCCAGAGTCACACAGCTAGTAAGTGTTATATGACTGAGGCCAGATTTGAACTGAAGTCCCCCTGACTCTGAGGCCTGTACTCTATCCACTGTGCCACCTAGCTGCCCCCAGAAAATGTCATTTTATAAAGACCTACTAGACACAAAGCAGGATACATTTGGAGGGTAAAATGGAGAGGGTTCCTTGCAGTAACTTTGGTTTGAGAGCCTGGAGGCTTCATATCCAAAGGGCTTCAGACACCAACTCCCCTGCCTCTAACAATTCCACCAAGGCCTTGCTGAGCCCCAGAGCAATCTACCAGGTAGGCCCCACCCCATTACAAGCCAGGAGTCCCAGACCAGCAAGATAGAAAGGGTCTGCCCCCAGTGCAGGCCATCAGTTAGGCCCTACCCTCACTGCTAATAAGTAGTGATGCTCCCACTCTGAAGCCACACAGCAGCAAGACCCTGCCTGCAGACAGCCAACAGTGAGCCCACCCCCTACCCAATGTAAGTCAGGAGCTAGGCCCTGAGGCCCAGAGAAAGTTGGCAGCCAGGCTCCAGAGACCCAGCACTGCATAGGACAGTACAATAACAGAGCCCGACACTCAAATAAAAGTATAAAGTCATAAAAATATGCAGAAAAATGAGCAAAAAAAAAGAAATTGAGTATATAAAGTTATTATGGTGTCAGGGAAGATCAAGTCACAAACTTTGGTGAGAACAACAGTGTCAAAATGTTTACATGTGAAGCCTCAAAGAAAAATGTAAACTGGTCTCAGGCCCAAAAATGAACACATGGAAGAACTTTAAAAATACTTTTATTTTTTCCCCTAATGATAATTTTAGTAGTATTTTATTTTTTCCCAATTATATGTCAAGACATTTTTGGCATTTATTTTTAGAAAATTTAAAATGGATCTTTCAAAGCAGATTAGAGAAGTATAAGAAAAATGAGGAAAAGAAATGAGTAATGCAAGAGAATCATGAAAAAAGTATCAACAGCTTGGTAAAAGAAACAAAAAATGGAAAAAGATCTACAAAAATTCACCAAAGAAAATAACTCCTTAAAAAAATAGAATTGGCCAAATTGAAAAAAAAAAGGTACAAAAGCTCACTGAAGAAAATAATTCCTTAAAAATTAGAATTGGGCATGAGAAAGCTAATGACTCTATGAGACATCAAGATACAATAAAACAATTAAAAGAATAAAATAATTAGAAAATGTGAAATTTCTTATTTATTAAAAAAAATTGACCTGGAAATCCAGGTGAGATAATTTAAGAATTATTGGACAGCCAGAAAAAGCCAGGATCAAAAAAAGTGCGTGGACATCATATTTTAAGAAATTATCAAGGAAAATGGCCCGGATATATTGGAACCAGAGGATAAAACAGAAATGGCAAGAATCCACTGATCACCACCTGAAAGAGATCCCTAAATAAAAACTCCAAGGAATATCACAGCCAAATTCCAGAGCTCCCAGGTCAAGGAGAAAATACTGCAAGCAGACAGAAAGAAACAATTCAAATATTGTGGAGGTACAGTCAGGATTATACATGATCTAGCCTTTTGTACATGAAAGAACCAGAAGGCTTAGAATACAATATTTTGGAATGCAAAGGAGTTAGGATTGCAACCAAGAATCACTTACTCAGCAAAACTGAGTATATTCTATCAGGGGAAAAAATGGTTATTTAATGAAATAGAGGAGTTTCAAGCATTCCTAATTAGAAGACCAGAGCTTAATAATAATAAAAAAATTATCTTCAAATGTAAGACTCAAGAGAAACATGAAAAGGTAAAAGAGAAACAAGAAAGAGAAAACATAAGAGATTCAATGAGGTTAAACTGTTTATATTTCCACATGGCAAGGTGATAACTCTTAGAACTTTATCACTGTATGGGCAATTAGGAGTATTCATAGATAGAAGATGTGGATGTAAGATGACTATAATGGTATGATAGCCTAAAAAAAAAATTGAGGGGAGAGAAAGAAGATTGTACTAGGAGAAGAGGGAAGGGGGAGATAGGGTAAATCATCTCATATAAAAGAGGCATGAAAGAGTTATTAGAATGGAGACGAAGATGGGGGCTGGTAGTCAAAGTTTAACCTTACTCTCATTAGAATTGGTTCAAAGAGGGAATAACAAACTCAGTTGGATATAGAAATCTATCTTACCCCATAGGGAAGTAAAAAGTGATGGGGATAAAAGAAGAGGGAGGGGTTGATAGAAGGGAGAGTGGATTGGAAGAGGCAATGATCAGAAGTAAACATTTCTAAAGAAGCACAGAGTGAAAGGAAGAGAAGAAGAAGGATAAACAAGGGAAAAATAGGATGAAGGGAAATATACACTTGGGGAAATAACATTATTATAAACACGAATGAGATGAACTTACCCATAAAAGAGAAGTGGATAGCAGAATAGATTAAAAACCAGAATGCTACAATATGTTGTTTATAAGAAATACATTTGAAACAGAGACGTACAGAGTAAAGGGCTGGAGCAGAATGTATTATGATTCAGCTACAGTTAAAAAAAAAGTAATCATGATTTCAGACAAAGCAAAAGCAAAAATATACCTAATTAAAAGAGATAAGCAAGGGAACAAAATGTACTAAAAGGTACCATACACAATGAAGTAATATCAATACTAAACAGATATGCACCAAAGATTACAGCATTTAAATTTTTGAAGAAGTTTAATGAGTTACAGGAGGAAATAGATAACACTATACTAGTGGGTGACTTCACCCTCTCTCTCTCAGAACTAGAGAAATCTAATCACAAAATAAACAAGAAAAAAGTTAAGGAGGTGAACAGAATTCTGGAAAAGTTAAATATGATAGCTCTCTAGAGAAAATTGATTAGAAAGGAATATGCCTTTTTTCTCAGCAGTACATGGCACCTACACAAAAACTGACCATGTATTAGGACATACAAACCTCACAACCAAATGCAGAAAAGCAGAAATATTAAATGCATCCTTTTCAGATCGTAACACAATAAAAATTCCATTCAATAAAGTAAAAAGATAAATTAAAAATGAATTAGAAACTAAATAATCTAATTCTAAAGAATAAGTGGGTCAAAGAAGAAATGCCAGAAACAATCAATAATTTAACTAAAGAGAACAGCAACAATGAGATAACATGCCAAAATTTATGAGACACAGGACAAAGCAGTACTTAGGGGAAATTTTATATCTCTAATTGCTTCCATCAATAAAATAGAGAAAGAACCGTTCAATGAACTGGGTATGCAAACTTTTAAAAAAAAACAACCTTGCTTAAGGTTAAAAATTAAAAATAAGTAGGGGCAGCTAGGTGGCGCAGTGGATAGAGCACTGGCCTTGAAGTCAGGAGGACCTGAGTTCAAATTCGGCCTCAGCCCAAACACTTGACACTTACTGGCTGTGTGACCCTGGGCAAGTCATTTAACCCCAATTGCCTTTTAAAAAATAAAATAAAATAAAATAAATTTAAAATCCTCAATGAAACCCCAAACTGGAAGTCCTGAAAACTGAGAGATTAGTAAAATTGAAAGTAAGAGCACCACTGAAATAATAAATAAGATTAGAAGCAGATTTTCATGGGGGAAAAACACAATAAAATGGATAAACCATTGGTTAATTTGACTTAAAAAAGGAAAGAAGAAAACAAAACTACCAGTATCAAAAATGAAATGGCCAAATTTGCCACCAATGAAGTAGAAATCAAAACAATTAATAGGAGCTATTTTGCCAATTATATGTTAATAAATCTGACAATCTAAATGAAATGGATGAATATTTACAAAAATAAAAGTTGCCCATATTGATAGAAGAGGAAATACTTAAATTACTTAAATACTTAAATAATTCCATTTAAGAAAAAGAAATTGAACTAACCATCAATGAACTTCCTAAGAAAAAATCTCCAGGGCCATATGTATTCACAAGTGAATTCCACCAAACATTTAAAAGAACAATTAATCCCAATAACTATATAAACTATTTGAAAATATAGGCAGAGAATGAGACCTACCAAATTATGGTGCTAATACCTAAACCAGGAAGAGTGAAAACAGAAAAAGAAAATTATAAATCAATTTTCCTAATAAATATTGGTGAAAAAAAATTTAAATTTAAACAAAATACTAGCCAGAAGATTATAGCAATATATCACAAGGATCATACACTATGAACAGGTAGAATTTATACTAGGAATATACCAGGGCTGGTACAATAAAGAAAACTGGCAGCATAATTGACTACATAAATGAAAAGACCAACAGAAATGATATGATCATATCAACAGATGCAGAAAAAGACTCTGACAATATACAGCATCAATTCCTATTAAAAACACTAGAAAGTATAGGAAGGCAACCTTTCTTAAAATAAGTAATATTTATATAAAACCATCAACTAGCATTATCTGTAATGGGGATAAGCTAGAAGCCTTCCCAGTACAATCAGATATGAAGCAAGGATGCCCATTATCCCCATTATTATTCAATATTATACTACAAATGTTAGCTATAGCAATAAGAGAAGAAAAAGAAATTAAAAGAATCAGAATAGTCATGAGGACACAAAACTATCACTCTGCAGATGATCTGATGATATGCTTAAGAGAATCCTAGAGAATCAACTAAAAAACTAGCTGAAATAATTAACAACTTTAATAAAGTGGAAGAATATAAAATAAATCTGAACAAATCATTAGTATTTCGATATATTACCAAAGTCCAACAGTAAGAAAAATAGAAAAAGAAATTCCATTGAAAATAATTAACGTATAATTAAGTCAAATTGCTTGCCTTCTCAATGAAGGCATTGGGGAGGGAAGGAGAGAATTTGGAACTCAAAATTTTAAAAACGAATGTTAAACTATATGTTTTACATGTAACAGGGGAAGATAAAACATTAAACTGAAAAAATAAAATAACTAGACAATATAAAATATTTGGGGGGCAATGTCTACCTACCAACTCAAAGCCAGGAACTATATGAACAAAATTATAAAATACTTCAAAACAATAAAGTCAGATCTAAACAACTAGAAAATTTTAATTGCTCATGGGTAGGCTGAGCCAATTTAATAAAAATGAAAATTCTACCGCAATTAATCTACTTGTTCAATGTCATACCAATCCAACTACCAAAAAATTATTTCACAAAGATAGAAAAAAAAAATAAAATTCATCTGGAAGAAGAAAAGGTCAAGAATATCAAGGTAATCAATGAAAAAAAAAGTATGAAGAAAGGTGGTCTAGCTGTACCAGATCTCTAGTCTCTTTTTTGATCACGGCTTTCAGATAGTCCAATAATTTTTAAATTCTCTCTCCTGGACCTATTTTCCAGATCAGTTGTTTCTCCAATGAGATATTTCACACCGTTTTCTAATTTTTCATTTTTTTAGATTTGTTTTACAGCATCTTGATTTCTCATAAAGTCACTATCTTCCAATTGCTCTATTCTAATTTTTAAGGAAGTATTTTCTTCAGTAAGCTTTTGGACTTCCTTTTCCATTTGGCCGATTTTGCTTTTTAGAGCATTCTTCTCCTCATTGGCTTTTTGGACCTTTTTTGCCATTTGGGTTAGGCTATTTTTTAAGGTATTATTTTCTTCAGTATTTTTTTGGGTCTCTTTTAGCAAGCTATTGACTTGTTTTTCATGATTTTCTTGCATCACTCTCATTTCTCTTCCCAGTTCTTCCTCTACTTCTCTTACTTGCTTCTCAAAATCCTTTTTGAGCTCTTCCAACTCCTAGGACTGATTCATATTTTTCTTGGAGGCTTTGGATGTAGGAGCTTTGACTTTGTTGTCTTCTTCTGGTTGTATATTTTGATCTTCTTTGTTACCAAAGAAAGATTCTATGGTCTGATTCTTTTTGCGAGGTTTGGTCATGATCCCAGCCAATTACTTGAGTTGTAAACTCTTTATTAAGGTAGAGGTCTGCTTCCAATGTGGAGAATGTACTGTTCCAAGCTTCAGGGTTTTGTACAGCTGTTTTCAGAGACACTTTTAAGGACCTGTAAATTTTCAGTTCTTCTAAGGTGCTATGATCAAGGGTGAGGTGTTTACTCCTGTCCTGGCCTGTGCTCTGGTCTATGACTGACCACAAGAACTCTTATCTGTCTTGGAACCGTGAGGAGGATTCTCTCTACAAAGCCACTACAAGTTCCACCACACCAGCACTCCTCCTCGCCCCAGGACCCAGAACTGTGACCTAGATCCAAGCACAGGCAAAGCAAGAGAATCCTGCACCAACAGAGAGATCCCTGCAATCTCCCTCTGATCACCCACTCAATTGTGGGCCAGAAGTTCAGGAGGCAGGTGCCACCCCAGGGCCAAGCTCGGGGACTGGAGCTGAAACCACCGTGCTTCTTCTCTCACCACAGAAACATACTTTTCCCACTGACCTTCTAAGTTGTCTTTGGTGTTTGTGGGTTGAGAGGTCTGGAAACTGCCACAGCTGTCCACAATTCAGCACTCTGAGGCCTGCTCCAGGTTCGTTGTGGCCTGCACACCCACACCAAATCGCGCTCCTCTACCTGCCAGGCACGATACACCTTTCCAATCAACCATCAGGTTGTCTTGGGCTGGGAATTTGTTTCACTCTGTCTTTTTGTGGGTTCTGCTGCTTTAGAATTTGTTTAAAGCCATTTTTTTTACACGTATTTGGAGGGGTTTGGGGGAGAGCTCAAGCAAGTCACTGCTTTCACTCTGCTATCTTGGCTCCGTCGCCCTGTACCAGATCTCAAACTGTGTTAATAAAGCAGTAATTATCAAAACAATCTGGTACTGGCTAAATTACCAATGGCCTCTTAACTTCCAAATCAGATAGAGTTTTCTCAATCCTAATCCTTCTCAACCTATCTGCAATAATTAACACTGTGGGGACTCTTATCTTCTTAGATATTCACTTTTCTAGATAACTGCAATTTAAGTGTTACAGGAATGAATAGCTATAATTTTAGCAATTTTTATGACCCTGTTGTCCATCTAGCCAAAACTTCTCAGTCTCCCTTAATGGACTATCATTCATAAAAGGATCCCTAATTGTGTTTATACCCAAAGGTTCTACCCAAGGCCTTCTATTTTCTCTTTATACTGAGTAACTGATATAAGCAGCTCCCATCGCTTTAATTATCTCCATGCACATCATGCCCAGATCTATATTTTTAGCCCTCATCTCCCTCCTAGAGCTATAGTCTCATATAATCAAAAGCCTATTCAACAATTTAAGCTCAATGTCCTGTAGGCATCTCAAACTCAACATGTCCAAAAAAGAACTCATATCTTTCTCCCAAATCCATCCTACTTCATAATTTCTTTATTTCTGCTGAGGGCACAGCCACCCTTTCAGTCAACAGATTTATGATCTTGGAGTCATCCTCAATTCCTCTTATTTACCACACACAGCCAGATCACTTGCCAAATCTGATCGCGTCTACCTCCCATAGCACTCTATTCCTTTTCTATCCACCTACATGGTCATCAACCAAATTCACTGTCACTAGGATTACTGCATTGCCTCCTCACTAGTCTCTCTGTTTAAGTATCTCTCCACTGCAATTAAAGCTCCAGAAAACTACAAAAGTGATTTTCCTAAAATGTAGGCCTCACCACATGACTTCCCTTCTCAATAAACTTTAGTGACTCCTGAAACCTCACTGATCACATACTAAGGAGCATTTGAGACACATCTGTGATACCAGATCCACGAAAAGGATGGGGCTTTTTGGTGCCAACCTCCACAAACAAGAATCCTCTCCTTTTACTGAAAGTCTAGTGAAAATTGGAGCAGAGAAGAGAGGAGAAGAAAGAGCTGAGGCTTAACCACGAGAAAGAGTACATCATTGTGAAGAAATGATATAAGGAACCAGGGAACAAGGCAGCCAAGCAAGGCCCACAGTGGTAATATAGAGACAAATCAACTTCCTTCCCTTGCCTAATACTTTTCAGAGGTAAAACCTCAAAGAAATAATCATTTGGAACAAGAGGTTTGCAGCATACAAAGTAGTAATGACACAAAGCAGAGTCAGAGTCCTCCTCACCTCTATCCATGGAATCCTCTGAGAGCATGAACCTTGACTTATGTTGGGGAGATGCCATTTTCAAAAGAGGTCCTTTCAATTTTGCAATCATGCCAGCATTCTTCTTTCCAGAGAGAAGGCAGGCATTGTGGGAAAATGCTAAAGGTGGAAAAAACCAAAATACAAAATAAAACAAAAAAATGGAATCTTACCTCAGGCAGATATCATTGTGGAAGAGTCTGAGTCGCAGAGACAGTTATCATTCCAGTCATCAAGCTCACCTGCATCAGCGTCTTCTGTCTCTATTAAGTGTCAGAGTTCTCCCCTACACCAGCTGTTCAGTGTATCCCCAATATCTTGGTACATGATACTCAACTACACAAAATTTTGTACCCATCTACATAAGTGTAGTTTAAGGGATACAGGAATAAAATGGTTATAATTTCAACAAGTATGACTTCGTTGATCTCTAAGATTTCTGCTTCTTAATATTTCTTCCCCCTCCACTTTCTTCTTTATGATTTTCTATCTCCCCCAAGAGATGCTTCCCCCCTCCCACTGAATCAGGAAGCTGCTCAAATAAAGTATCTAAAAATGCTAGCCAAGATTTCCAAAATCTAAAACAGCAGAAAACACCAATATGACCTCTTTATCTTTAGAATATAAGTCAAGGGGCTCAGATCCAAATAATACCTTTTCCAAATAATTGACGCGTTGGTTGAGGCCGGTATGAGGCACGGAAATAGGTAAAAGCCAATGGAATATCCCTCCGAGTTAGGGGCCCCTGAATGGGCTGATTGAGCTCCTTATTGATAGCAATGTAGGCAGTATGAGAGGAGACAACTCCGGACTGAAGGCTAATATCCACTACTTTGCTCTTCACTTCTGCAGCATCCTGTAAGTTTCCATCAAGGGTCTGGATCAAGGACTTGGCAGCCAGGCGGTGAATGGTAAGTCTGGAAAGAGACAATCTTCTGAACTACATATGAGCACCGGGGAAGGTGGTCTTAACCCCCAATTCCTAAGGATTCCAAATAACCAGGGAAAGCAAGTGGAGAATAAGAAAGAATAGATGTATGGGTTCATAGGAGAGAGATTAATGAGAAAAAGAAGGAAGAGAAGTCTCAACAACAGGCAGGTGAAAAAGGAGGGAGGGATCACCAAGGATTCTTACTTGTCATCTCCTTTGGCATTCACAGAGAATGGCACTGTGTCCCTGAAGCCTTCACCTTGGAGCTTGTATTGAAGACATACCTCACCTGCTGCCTCTTTGGACTGGAAGAGGATAGGCAGAGAGGTCAAGCAGTAGGTAGTCCATTAATGGAGTACAGAGGTCTAAATCACCAGCATAAGATCACAGCTCTAGAGCTTGCAGTGATCTCAGACCACATCCATTCTGACCCCTTCATTTTACACAGCTGGGAAAAGAGGCTCAAAGGAGCTCAGTGACTTGTCTGAGATCATAAGCATTTGAGGTGAGATTTGAACACAGATCCTTGGACTACAGAACGATTACTCTGTTCTACATATACCACTAGGTCAGAATGGAGTAATGTTCAGGAAAAAGATATTACCAAGGTCCAGGTACACAAGAAGGAAAGGAAATGAGAGCTCTGGTTCCTCCCTTCCACATGCCATCCTCTGGGTAAGCCCACATGCCCACCTAGTGCCAGAAAAGGAAAATCCCAGGACAGAGTTTGGACGTCTGCTACCACAACCATGGGACCCAAAAGTAGGAATGGGGACTTACTGCATTTGTCCCTTTCAACTGGGCATAGACGATTAACCTCTGACCCCTGAAGATGACAGGAGGAAGAGGAGAGAGCAAGGTAGTCTCCAGCCCAGGGGGCAGAGTCCAGGTCAGGGAGACATCCTGTACCACTGGCTGCAGGGCCCGCTTGAGGGACCGGAGGGCCTGGGGGAACAGAATGGAAGCTGTAGAGCTTGAAGGGGAAGGAAAGAGACTTCATGAGAGAGGATAATTAAGTAGAGAGAAGATATTTCCTCCTTCTTGGTCATGTGAGAAACCAGGCTTCAACCCCCTTCCAAACTCCTGAATACATCACAGCAATCTGTTTCCAATTCTTTTGGTCATTGACAGGAAAATTGGGATAGTGGGATACTGCCAGTCAATCATGAAGGTAAGTCCAAGTTGTAGAGCCAGAACCTCCAGGGAAGCAAGGAAAGGTCCTGGTCTCTGAGGCCAGCTCCAGTCTTTGTACCTTTCATCCCCTTCATGTTCATGTCCCTTCAGACTCTGTCTGTCATGACCTGGGCCTTTCCCAGGGAACATCCTGGTCCCCTTTCAACACACAGTGGGGTCATGCCTGCTCCACATTCAAGAGCTCTCAGATCTATAGCTGCAAAGTCCCAAGGCCCAGAAAGGGAAAGTTCCCACTTCACCCACCCAGGCACATTTCCCAAGCACCTCAACACACAAAATGCTACTGCACAGGACATGGGGACAAGGACATATCTGTGTTCAGAAAGCTACTGTGGTGCCTCAGTCTGGAAGAGATGCTTTTGAGAAAAAGAAAACCATGCCACCTTGGGCTGCATTCTGTCCCTGCCCGTGATGAATTCTGCAGTGCCCCCAGCTGCCCGAGCAATGCCTTTAACAAGGCTGGTGGAAGCCCCTTCTCCAATTCCAAAAGAGAAACACCTGGAATGAGAAGACAGCAGGCTGGCCAGAGGAAGTTTTAGGAAAGGGTTCCTGACTCATACTTCTGTGGGGAATTAGAGGACAAAAGCTTTAGGGTGTGGAGGCCTGTTAGGGATCAGTCCTTCTTTAGGTACCCAGCCATCTGCAGATGATCACCACAGAATCATAGATGGAGAGCAGGAAGAAACCTCTGAGGCCGTCTGGCCCAAATCCCTCATATTACAGATGAAGACATTGAGGCCCAGACCCATGGTGAGTAAGTATGTGTCAGAGGCTGACTCCCGAAAACCATACCTGTGATTCTGGCTGTGGCGCTGAACTTCAGCAACGACCCTCCATGTATCACCAACTTCTCCATCTGTGAAGACGAAGAGCTGCAGAGGGAGACAAGCAGCCACAGAGCCTGTCAAAGCCACGTCAGGTTCCTCAGCCCAGGGCTCCCCTGACCCAAACTAAAGCAGGTGTCCCAACATAGATCAGGCTACCTCACAGTTCAGGTCTATATTACTGTGGATCTATAAGGACAGACTTCATGAAATTAGAGCTGGAGTATGGGGCTGTAGCAGGGAGAAGGCAATAAGCATTTATGAAGCACCTACTATGTGCCGGACATTGTGCTAAGCACTTCAAACTATCTCCACAAGTGTGAGGTAGGTGGTTCATTCAGGGCACCTGGGAGGTTTCAGAGCCTCCTAAACTGCTGAGTCAGGTCTTCTGTGAGTGGGACCTTTCAGAGCAACCCTGCAAGATGTGGAGAGGCAGTGGGGGGGAATAGAAAGAATGATGGACTTGTAGTCCATCAGTAAAGATGTGAGTTCAAAGCCATCTTTATCACTAACTATTTCTGTGGCCATGAGCAACTCATGAAACCCAAAATCTTACTTTGCCCAGCTTAAAGTGGACATAATAAGATCTGTAGGACTAACCTAAAATGTTGTTGTAAGAATCAAATAATATAAATTATATAAATATCATTTATATATCATTTAGATCATTTTTCAATTATATCATAAATAGCTATATGAATTTTCAGGTGATATTGTACAGCCGATAGGTCTTATTCTTAAAGCAAAGGATGAGATTCTTCTTATGGGAGGAGAGACTCAGACCTCCCCAGTCTGTTTTTTACTCTTGATTTAATATGAGACAGCAAAAAGGGGCAATGGATAGAGCACCAACCCTGGAGTCAGAAGGACATGAGTTCCAATCCAGCCTCAGACACTTATTAGCTGGTTGACTCTGGACAAGTCACTTGAACCAATACTTCCAAAACACCTGATCACTGCTGCTTTCAGACAGCATTAATGCTAAGGACCCATCAACAAAACAAGACTTGTATCTCTCTTTCTCCCAGTCCCAGGTCCTCACCTGCCGAGGGTGGTCTGGCTTGCAGGATTTGCTATAAATGTCTTTCAGTGGCTCTAAGATTTCAGTCCCTCCAAGGTTAGCTTCTAGAGCCTTTACTCTCTGCACAGCCAACTCCATGGACTGCTGTGTGTACTCCACACTCTCTCTGAGACACACACACACACACACACACACACACACACACACACAAGAGAGTTCCATAAGAGACATTTTCCAACAGTGTAAAAGGAACTTAAGCCTCCTGCCCCTCTCATAAATCCCAGCTCCAAAGACAGGTCTTATACTACCTCTTCACAAATTCTGCAACTATATCATTTGTAATAGCTTCCTTAGCACTTCCCCTTTTAACCTCCACCCTCCTCCCCACCTCTGTGACTCTAGACAGAGACTCACAGGAAGAAGGATTCAAAGGAGGATCCAAATCCATAGATATTGAAAAAACAGCCAAGGGGCAAACTCTTCAGCAGCAGGACCAGAGTTTCCTGAGTGAGAAGAGATTTTCAAAAAATAAAGTCACCATTTTCCATCCCTGTGACACTCAGGTCTCACCCTGTTCTCCCCTTCATGACGCCAGTCCCAGTGAGTTATGTTAAAGTGGTAACATTCAAATTCAGCCCATCACAAGGACATAGTCAGTGCCTTACAAGATTAATTTAAGCCCAAAAGTTCCATTTTCACTCCTGAAAAATAAAAAGACATGCAAAGGGGGCATAATAGGGAAAAGAAACTGGTACCTTGGCACTATCTATGCGCTTCTGGGCCCCTTCTTTGTTATTCATTTGGAAGGACATGCTCCCTGAGCGGTCCAGGAGGAAGATAAATTCACCAGTGTTCTCTCCCTGACACTCAGGGATACTAGGGTAGAAACTCACCATTACAGCTGGATCTCCCATCAGGGAACCTACCAAGAGGCAAAAATATATTAAAAAAAAAAAACGAAAATATAGACCACAGGCCACCTGATGTGGAAAAGGAGCTGAGTGAGGAGAGAGGGCTTAATTATTACACCTTGAACTTTTATTTTTGGTTTGCATTTTTATCCTAGTTGCAAAAGGACTTAAGACAACTTACAAAATTGCCAATGAAAAACTGTATAGGACAAGAAGCCATCAGGTACAGGCTATACCTCTAAATCCCTTGACATTATATGAAGTACATGAGAGATTTATATTGGACTAAAACAACTAGGCTGGTCACACATCACAAGAGAGATTTCCAAAAGATCTCATCCAGCTAGAACCATGTGCCCCATCTAATCACCTTGAATGGAAGATGGATAAAATGTAAGGTCCTACCAACAAAACCAACTGTGCAAGTACATGGCAGGGATGCCATACTTAAACAATAGCTTCTACAAAAAATCCTGCATTAGGCAGTAGGATCTTTACTATCTCTTCCAGTTCTGAGATTCTGCGTCTGTCACTGTACATTATGATTTTAAATTAGGTCAAAGTATCATAGTATAATATTCAACAGTCAGAACAGTAACTTTGTTCTTTTCTTTAAACCTTAGCATTTCTACATTTGGTATAATAATGAAATCCTTCCTTATTCTCTTTCAGTAAGTCAATAAATATCCCTCTTTGGATCCCTGAGATCACCACTGCATACAATAGTGACAACCATCCTACAGCTATTTCAATACCTCTCTGCCAAGCGTCAGCATGCTTGGGAGGTATATGCTCAGCAAGGTGAGCAAGCTCCTGAGATTGGCTCACCTGGCTTGGCATCAGCCTGGGCCAGCTCCACAGAGACACTGGGTGTGTTCACCTCCCTGTAGTAAACCAGAATCTCAACATCCCGATCAAATTGATGCCCTTCAGCCAAGGAAACCTGAATGAAGATGAGGTAGAGCACAGTAATGCTAAGACAAGAAGGAAATCTCAGGAGCTTCTTCTGGATTCCCAGGTGACAAGAAGGGGCTGGATAGTTAACTTCCTATTTGGGGAGTGATGGAGTTCTGGGATGGAGTTGGTATGAAAAGAGAAAAGTCTAGATCTAGAAGGATGGAGAGAGGATAAAATATGACCATCTTATGGGTGAGTTCAGAACACTGGACAGTACTTGGAAATAAAAAGGAAGGGTTTGAGGTATGGAAGTGGGCAGGGCCACCAAGGCAATGGTGCTTCCTGCCTAGTTAGTTACCTGGGCAACCTTCTTGTCATCTTCCAAGTACTGCAGGGGACTCAGAGGACAGTTGGACTGGACCTTCTCAATGCCATGCGGAGAGCAGACACTGGCACTAACACTAAACGTGTAAGGCAGCTCCTTGCCAGGAACCCGAGGGACTTCAGAGGTGATGTTGTCTGTCTCAGCTGACTCTGCAATGAGCCACACAGTGCTGATCCCAGGAGGAACTAAGAGGGCCCTTTTCTCCCCTAGGCCACAGGATCCAGGTAGAACCAGATGCCCCCATTGTTCTTCCATCCACAATCCCCAACCCCTTGCTACTGGAGGAGGCCAGGCTCCTCACCTTGCAGGAGATAGCGTGGATTCAAAATGGCTGGCAGGACAAAGCGAACAGCCCCATCTGCCTCCAAGGACAGCTCCTGAACATAGCTCAGAGTGACAGCAGCCTTCTGGCCAGGGGGCAAATTTCCTATACTGCAGCTGAAGATGTCACCAGAGCTGCTATCCTGCTCCAGAAGGAAGGCTTGCTGGCCTTGGGAAATGGCATCCTCATAATTCTCCTGGGCCTGAGGGGCAAGAGGAAGAGCAGGAATGAGGAAATCTTGGGAACAAGGAGAAGAGGAAAAAAGGCTTTGGGGAGAGAGGCAAAAGAAGACATAACTGCTTAGGGGAGGCAGTCAGAGAGAAAAAGATAGCAGGCTTGAGGGCAGAAGGAACAGCCACTCAGGCTGACTTCTCTCCAAATGCTTTCAGTCAAGAAACAGAGAATTAGAGTCAGAAAGCCCCTTGATGACTACCTAGCTCATTCCCCTCGTTTTACAGAAGAGAATACCAAGGGCAAAACAGCACCTCAAGTGAGGACAAAAGCAACTCAGTGTTTCCAGCTGAGACTACAATAAAACATATTGGTTCAACATGGAGAAGGCAAAGGGGAGCCTTGCCCTGCCATCCCCACTACCTGCTGCTTCTCTTGTATTTCTGCCACTATACTCTTCCCATCCACCACAGCCTGGAAGCTATAAACAGCAGAGTCTTCATCCATGGGGAACACAAAGAATGCTTCCACAGGAGCTGCTTCCTCATTCTTGTAGTCTAGGCTTGCAGACACATCTGCCACAAACTCACAGATAGACACAGCCACCGAGATGCTCTTAAGAGGCACTGGAGGAAGGAAATGCACTTCAGTCCTCAATTCTCACCCCCAAAGACTCCACAGAAGGGCTACATACTTCTGGAGTTCTCTCTCCTTTTTCTCATCTTTGCTTGTACTCCTGGTACTTACCTGGCTGCTTGCAGCGGGTGAGAAGACCACAAGCGTGTTCCATGGTGAAACTCTGTTTAAAAAAAGTAAAGTGAAATCTGAAGTAATCCATAGATGTTGTTTCCACTCCACTGTCAACCACTTTTTATTGGAACCAGAATCTTCTACCAGAAACAACCCATCAGTTAGAAGGCAGGCAAAGGTGGCAGGAAAGAGGGAAAGAAGAGGTCAAAGACAATAGACACATCTCCATTCAATCTGACAGCCCAAGAGTCAAGTTCCCCTAACCTCAGGTCAGTGACTCACTTAGGCACAGTGAGTCTTACTTACTAATAGAAGTATACTAGCTGCTACACATAAGAGACCCACAAAGCCTGGAAGATAAGTAGGGGCTTCAGCCTCAGAACTGGTAAATGAAGGGGGAAAATGGTGATTGATGACATAAGTGGGCGGTCCCTCCTTTATTCAGGGAGGAACTTTTAATTCAAAAAAGTGTTTATTTCTATTTGTAGGTATGTGGTTGTTTCCAAAGAAAGTGTGTTACTGCTGAACTATCCTCTCTGGGTCTTACTAAGCTATGACCTAAATCCTAAAAAAAGCCAGATTTTTACTCTTTTTTTTTTGGAGGTGGGGGAGTCATCCTTAGTTTTTTTCACCAGTGTCAGCTCAATACATGTTTCAGCACTCTTGAATGTTATTCTTTCAGGACAAAGGCATTCTTTTGAATTCATTCTTCATTTCCTGACCTTACTTTCACTTTCTTTACAATTATTTTTTTTAATCTAGGTTGTTTGAAAAATTCTCCAAGCACTTATAGGGGTTTTCTTTAGACAATCCCCCTTTGTCTTCCTGATGGGAATCATTGAAGAATTTCATTTTTGAGAGCAGTCTTGGATTGAGGTCATCAACAATGGTCGGTTGAATGAACAACAAAGCATTCATTAAGTACTTACTGGGTGTACAAAGCATTGTGATACAAGTTTGGAAAGCAAGATAGTTCCTGGTTTTAAGGACCTCACAGTCTAAAAGGAATCTCCAATAGATTTAAGAGGTTTCCAACTACTTTGGAAAACCTGCAGAAATCTGGGCCATGAAATTCAACCTTTTCTGTCTGTGCACCCCTTGAAGTCTGCTCTTAAAATCTAGAGCATGTGACATACTCTGCCTGGCTTTCTACTTCTGTATCACAAATTCTAAGCTGGAATGATCACTTCCCCACCAAAGTTTCTGTCCTCTCCACCCACTCAACCAGTTCTTCCTTATTGGTGAGAGTCAGATTCAAAATGGACTTCCCCTGGTTGGTTTTTCCATTTTTTGAAGGATGAAATTATCATTAAAGAAAGTCAAAAACATACTAGCTGTCCTGGTTGGGGAAGGAGAGGAGAAGAAAAGAGTTCCAGCACATCTTTAGAAGACTGAAATGTCTGAGTCAAATCTGTGATGTGGCTCAGTCTCCTCACTGATGTCATCTTTCAGGTCATCTGCACTATACTTTGATGACAATATTTACCACATTTTTTTTTTTGCTACCACAGATCTTTATCCAACTCTTCTGCCCACCTTGCTTTCTACCTCCAGTCCTTGGATTTCTTCCTGAGATTATCTTCTGACAGAAAATTGCTAATATAATGGCAGAAAATTATTAATACCAGATGTTACTTGCCACTCCCTTAATGATCCAGTAATGTCAGAATTTTAGTAATGTTTTTACATTCCTACTCTGAAGACATTTATTCATGATTATGTTGGACTGAATGGCATCCTAAGTCCCCCTACCCAGAGATTCTACTATGTAAAGAAACCTAAATTAAGCTGGAGTTCAGCTACTAATGTCCTTGCCCCCTTCCATCGTGATTCAAGGCATAAAGTGCAAAAGAGCCAGAATGAAGTGGGTTTCCTTGCTAAGGAATTGCCAAGGGCCACTGAGGTGGCAGGACCAGGCCTGGCTACCTCATTCTACCTCCTTCCCCTCTTCTCAAAGTATAAGAACTATGGAAGTGCCCTTGAGACTGACACGTCTGTTTTCTATGAGTGACCTTACCAAGCAGGTACACTGGACACAGAGTAAGCCTGTTTGCTGAACGCAGCCAATCAAGAGCCTGCAGGGAGCCATAGTGTTGTTCACTCCCAGACTCCTTTACCAGTGTTCACTGGCTGAACTTGCTGAACTGTAAACTACTCTCTCCCCTCCCCCAACTGGCTCCAACCAGTTTTGTAATCAATTGTTGCTTCAAAGCATCCTGCTTCCATGTCCACCTTTTCTTGGGAAAGATTGTCCGTTCTTTTCCCCAGGCACTCCCTGAACCTCCCCTATGTGGTTTTCACGGATAAATCTCCGGGCCTATCCTAAGCTATGGACTCTTCTGTAATTGGGACCACTGGCACTAGTGTCTAATTTTCCTCCCAATAAACTATTTCTGCTTTCAACCCAGCTTGGACTCCTCTACACCCCTGCTGACAGAACCTTTTCCAGTGAGTTAGCTGCCGGGCCATTCCCCAGGGTGGCAGGTTTGTACCCTGGAACCTATCTTGGTTTCTCAATTAAAGAAACTTTATTCCTCAACTAGTGGCTTTGATTTATTTCAGGAATTGACACTTCTAAATACAGAATCCTATTGGGTATAGTAAGGGTTGTCATGCTTAACTAAGTCTTCTCCCAGCCTCTTTTCTACCATGAGCCACAGATGAGTCCCTGACCTATATCTCTCCCCTGGGGGATCTCAGGGGAAGACAAAAGGACTTTCCACAGGCACCCTAAAATCTTATGGAAAGAATAGTGCTATCCTTGCTTACTTAAAAAATTCTGAAAAAATAGCTAAGACACAACTTTGAACATTCAGTGAACACTAAAAGGTCAAAACAATCCCAAGAACTCATTGCTAACCTTGGCTAAAATTCCCCAGGACACCAAGAGAGTGAAAATTCATGAGAAGTGTCTCTACCCCTCTGAAAACCTGTGGCACAATTCCTTGGCCCTCCATGCTCAGCCCTAACTTCTATTTTAGTATTATTTTAATATTTAATAGCAGTTTTTATTGAGTATTTAGTAATATTTTAATAAATAACTTCTAGTTATTTGCATTTTTTTTCCCCTCTCAGAATGAGCTCCTTGAGAACAGGAGATGTTTTCACTTTTCCTTGTAACCTCAGCATTTAGTATAGTGCCCAGCACAGTTTTTGTTGTTCAGGTTCAATGGTGTCAGGCTCTTCTTGACCCCATTTTTGGTTTTCTTGGCAAAGATACTGGAGTGCTTTGACATTTCCTTCTCCAACTCATTTTACAGAGGAGGAACTGAGAGGCAAACAGGGTTAAGGGACTTGTCCAGGATCACATAGCTGGTAAGTGTCTGAAGGTGGGTTTAAACTCTCTGAGGAAGAGTCTTCCTGACTCCAAGCTTGGCCCTCTGCACCACCTACCTGTCTTGATACATGGTAAATGTTTAATATAAATATTTGTGAATTATTACCTTAATACAGTAAACCTAGGCTCACCCTGAGAACCCAGCCAGTGGATGAGCACACATTTGCTCCCCTTGACACCTCCAAGTCAGCTCTAAATATCCAGCCCCAAGTTTCAGCAAGAATGTAATCAGGAACAATCCTAGGTAAGGCTGGTGGGGCCTGCAAAAAGGAATCAGAGAGGCAGCTAGGTGGCTCAGTGGAAAGAGCACGGGCCCTGAAGTCAGGAGGACCTGAGATCAAATCCAGCCTCAGACCAAACACTTGACACTTACTAGCTGTGTGACCCTGGGCAAATCACTTAACCCAACTGCCTAAAAATTAAAAAAAATTTTTAAAAAAGCAATCAGAACAGGGAGTGACCCTGCAGAAAGTCCTGAATAACAGAACCTGCAGTATTAGTAGATCAGGTTGGAACAAGAACTCTGCCCCTGTGGCAGCACTTAGGTAAAGAACAGGAAGGGACTGAACAGTAAACAGATCATCCAAAATGGGCAAAATATACAAGGCCTGGGCAACAAAGCCAAAGTTCTCAGAAAGTTAGAGCTGGAAGGTTCCATAAGAAGTACTTGCTTCTCATTTAACAGAGGAAACTGAGGCCCAGAGATGGGAAGTGATTTGTCCAAGATTCAGAAACAGAATTCAAATTCAGGTTTTCCGAATCTTGGTTCCAAGTGCGGAGTTCTTTCCAATGCACAACCCTTCCTCTCAAGCTTAGGAGGAAAGTTAATAGCTTGGTGGGAGAAAGCTGGTTTTCAAACACAGACGAGTCTAAGCCCTCAAACCAAAGCCCAGATTTAGAGACTTTCTCCTTCCTTCTCAGTGCCACACCCTCCCTACTTAGTATAAGGAACCCCTGCTGGCCTCAATCAGCCAGTGCCCAGTGGTGCAGATGCTAATTCTTAAAGGGAGACTCCTAGCCTTGGCGCCAAGAGTAATCCCAGACTCTGGGGGACCTCGCATGCAGGACCCAGAAGGGCCATACGATTTAAATGACTCCTGCGGGCGAGCCTCCAGAAAGACCAGACTTCAAGAGCCGCAAGAAACTCTGAGCAGGAGGAATGAAGCTGCACCCCTTCTGTCCCAGCGCTGATGGGGGTGTCGAGGGCATGGGAAACATGGCAGTGAGCCATCAGGAAGAGAACGAAATATGAGGCCCCATACCCAGTCTGCTGGGGTCTCCCTGAAGAGACAGAGACATATGTGAGCCCTAGAGCCTGAACTTGAACAGCACGACTTGCTTGGAGGGTTCGGTGGGGGGTGGGGATGAGCGTGGGAGGGCTAGAGGGAAACCCAAGCACACCATCAGCAAAGGCACTATATCCTGGGAAAGGGGGTAGAATCCCAGGTTCTGGGGAGGGGGCGTCCATTACCTACCTGCTCAGTACTTTCCCCTTGCTAGTTGCTCTGCAAAGTGAAAGAAGCATCAGTTTAGGCTTCCTAGAAAGCCCCGCCCTCCCCAGGCACTGAATACAAACTATGTAATTGACATTCAAGGGATTGTCTGCAAATTAATTGCCCCACATTCAAACGTTCACCATACAGCTCTTAAGTCAGGAATTCTCAAAGTGTGGGCTGCCTACCCCTGGGGTTCTCTAAATTCTTTTCTGGTGTCCTCAAAGTTTCTGTTTTCATGATACTAAGATGTTATTTACCTATTAAAATACTCCTCTTTGTCCAACTACAGTAGCTGCGTGAAGCCAGGTTTTCTTCATAAACTTCAACCAAAACAAATTATAAAAGGTTGAATGCAGAAGCTGATATGAGAATCCAGATGTCTTCTATTAAGCCAGATGTTAGAGATGGGGTGGGGGAACAAAACAACGCCACTTTCTCTCATTGTCTTTAATCTAGAAAATAGTTATTTCCATAAAATTATGTAATGTGTTCAGTTTAGTGGGCTTGCTATTGTTATTTCTTGTGAATTAATACATTTTAAAAATTTTTATAAACTTCAAGTTCGAACTAAAATCCCACCTTCTACAGGAAGCTTTTGCAAATCCCACTTCAGAGGGCAGTGTTTGCCCTCTTTTAATTATTTCCCATTTATCCAATTACAGCTTGCTTTATGCCTATTTGTTTGCTAGTTGTTTTCTTCTATTAGATTGTAAACTCCTTGAGGTCAGGGACTAATCTTTTGTCTCTTTTTTGTCCCAGAAGGGTTTATCACAATGCTTTGCACTTAAGTAGGAGCTTAATAAATGTGAATTTATTGAGAAATGAATTTCTAATAGTCCATAAAAGTTTATTAAACCCCTCTTATATGCTAACTACTTCCCTAACTGCTGGGGATGCAAACAGGTAAAAGAAAGATAGTCCCTGCCCTCAAGGAATTTACAATCTAAGAGAAAGGAGCATTAAAAAAAAAAAAAAGGAAGCTGAAAAGGAAAGAGAGAAAAAGAAGAAAAGTTTGGCAACTAATTGGAGAAGTCCATCATGGGAAAATTAAGAGCTGTATGGCCTGGATGACCTCTTTAAATGGAAGTTTGGGGAGAAAATCTTTGCTCTCCAGTCAGAGGGGCTGATGTTCTCTTTCAGCTAAGGCTCCTGACCAGGAGGTTCCTGGGATTGTGATGGGGAAGTCCAAAGGAATGAGCAAATATTGATAGTTATTACCTACAGAAACAATTATCTCGGGGGTCCTCAATCAATTTTTTGAAGTCTAAAGAAGTAAAGTTTGAAAACTACTGCCTTAGGCCAACCTTAGACCAAGGAAGAAGATGAGTAGCAAGGCAGTAAATTAGGGAGTTGGGTTAGAAAACAAAATCTGTAAAAGTGATAGCCCAGATTTGTTTGTCATTTCTCAAATCCTTCCTGGCAAATAGCTTGGGCTGACCTGGAGGTAACAGAGAAGAGGTCTAGTTGGAATTGAGGGTGGGAAGTATCCTGAAGTAGTCCAGAGGTAACGGACAATGACTAGGTCATAAGTAACAGAGAATTGAAGATTGAGCTGGGTCTGGGCCACAGTGAAAGGACAGTTGAAAGGATTTTTGAGAATCTAGGCTTGGATATACCGGAAGGTTCAGGGGCTGGGTTTTTTTTGGGCGGTCCAGGTCACATGCCCTATCACTACTATGTGCCAGACACTAGGCAAAGTGCTAGATCACAGTTAATGAGTGGCAACAGTTTTCTATTTAGGATCAGGATGCTTCCATTTCCAGAGATGTTTGTCTTGATTACTGTTTTCTGTACTATTGTTTTCTCATTTCCAAATCCTCACCAAGGTTGAAATCTAATTAATTGGTCCCTCTGCTCAGTGGGCTCCCTATGTCTGGGGGCATGTCAGGGGATGGCAACCCAGAGGGAGATCAAGACCATGTAAGCCTTTGGCAGTATAGAAAACATTGCAGCTCCTCTGGCTTGGTAGGGACTTGCTACTGTGGATGGGGGAACAAACCTCAACATTATTGTCACCCTATTCCTGAATGAGGATAAGAAAAAAAGGAATATTTGGAGTCCCTGGCTAGGGCCTAGGCCTTGTCCCATGGAAGGGACTTGGACTTCCTTAATTCTTTTGGTCCTTACTTCTTACACCCATTAGGGAAGAAGAAATTGTGTTCAGATGACCTAGGAGAGGAGACAGTGAACCTTGGGGATCACCCCAAAGCCATTACTGAGATGCCAAAGACAAGAGAGGAACACAGTAGGGACTGTGAGCTGCTATGGAAGCTTATCCTCTTGGATCCTGGGCTTTCAATAGCTTGATCCTCCTGGTCAAACTTCTTAAAGTGATAGACTACAAGTACTTTGCTCTGCTTTCTCAAATCAGTTCCTACTTTCCAGTTGCCAATGCAAATACATTTACTTCTTTCCAAGAATAATCTCCTTAAAAATCTCCCTGCCTCCTGTTACTCCCACCTCACACTAACTCCATACTATACAGATTAATCTTTCTGAAGTATTTTATTGTTGTAGTTGTTAAGTCCTGTTCAATTCTTCCTATCTCTATTTGTGGTTTTCTTGGCAGTATGGGAGTGGTTTGCCATTTCCTTCTCCAGCTCATTTTACAAGTGAGGAACCCATGCAAATGGGGTTAAGTGACTTGGCCAGGGTCACACAGGTAGCCAGTGTCTGAGGCTGGATTTGAAGATTCATCTTCCTTATTCTAAGCCCAGCGCTCAGTCCACTGACCCACCTAGTTGCCTTTCCTGAGGTATAGCTCTAATCATGATTTTCAAAATATTTTAGTTTATCTGAATGATGCAAAAACTCAGTCTGGCCTAAAAGCCCTTTTGTAGTCTAGAGCTACTCTCTTTATCCAGCCCTATCTACTATTTCACTTCATATACTCTACATTCTAACCAAAAGGGATTACTCCATATTCCCTAAACATAATCAATAAGATAATGCTGAAAGAGATCTTATATTTGACTTTCACTTCCAGGAGCAAAGATTGAGGAGTAAAAAGCAAGTTGCTCCTACCCTCCCTTATTGACCTCTGAAAGCCCAGAAAATATCGCCCCAGGAAAAACCCTGGCAGAGCTGTGCCAACAGAAAGACTGGGTACAGCAGTCTTGTAGCCCAGGAAGCTTGGGGGATTAACAGGAAAGGCCTCCCCCTTGCCCTGGGGGAGTGGAAGCAGTGAAGGATGGGAGGCATTCCAGCAAGCCAGTGGCAAGCCCCACCTCAGCAAACCAGGGGGAGATCCTGAGCCCCCTGATGTGGAGAAGGCAAGTGCCATACCAGGACTCACTGAGTAACTCAGTACAGGCAGGGGAACCAGTAGACACCAGCTGGTAAAACCATGTGGGAAGGCCTTCTCCAGTAGCCAAATCTCCTGGTGCCTAAACACAATTCTAGAAAGCACAGCTCCAGAAGGCAAAGCTCCAGACATCTGCAAGCATGGAAACATCCCTGTCCAAGGCCTGTGTGAGCAGGAACCAAAGAAAGGAGTGATAGGCCTGGGTGAGCAGATGTCAACCTGGGGCCAGACGTTGCACCCCTACCCTGAGAGCTCCAGTGTGGCTGACCCCAGCCCAGCACCAGGTAAGCTGCCAGAATCCTACAGCCTCCAACTGCCAGCATCTGAGGCCCCAGCACACAAAGCCAGTGACCAGGTCCAGGGGTCTCAGCAAAAGAAGCTTGGGTCAGTGCCCCCTGTATTCCAGCAGGAAAACTCAACTTTTTTAAAGTCAAGAAATAGGCAAATACCATGAGAAAAAAGCAGAAATAGACAATGACCATAGATTCTTATTATGAAGACAGGGAAAATCAAGGCACAAATTCAGAAGAGGACAACATTGTCAGTATACCCACATTAGAAACCTCGAAGGGGAATATGAACTGGTCTCCAGCCCAAAAAGCCTTCTTGGAAGAGCCCAAAAAGAATTTTAAAAGTCAAATAAGAGAGATAGAAGAAAAGTTGGGGAAAGAAATGAAAGTTATGCAAGAGAGTGTCAATAGCTTGGAAGAGGAAGGACAAAAATTAACTGCAGAAAATAAGTCCTTAAAAAAAATTGGCAAAATAGGGGGGGGAAAGTACACTGAAGAAAACAACTCCTTAAAAAGTAGAATTGGACAAATTGAAAAGGAGGCACAAAAACTCACTGAAGAGAAGAACCCCTTAGAAAGTAAAATGGACCAAATGGAAAAGGAGGTATAAAATCCAAAAGAAGAAAACAATTCATTAAAAATTATAATTGGGCAAGTGGAAGCTAAGGATTCTATGAGAGATTAAGAATCAGTCAAACAGAAACAAAAGAATGAAAAAAATAGAAGAAAATGTAAAATACCTCATTGGTAAAACAATTGACCTGGAAAATAGATCCAGAAAAGACAATTTAAAAATTATTGGTCTACCTGAAAACCATGATGAAAAAAAGAGCCTAAACAGCATTTTTCAGGAAATCATCAAGAAAAACTGCCCTAAGGGTACTAGAACCACAGGGTAAAATAGTCATTGAAAGAATCCACTGATCACCTCCTGAAAGAGATCTCAAATTGAAAACACCAAGGAATATTGTAGCCAAATTCCAAAATTACTATGTCAAAGAAAAAAATACTGCAAGCAGCCAGAAAGAAACAATTTAAATATCATGGGTCCACAGTCAGGATTATGCAGGGCCTTGCAGCTTCTTCATGAAAAGATCAGAGGGTATGGGATAGGATATACCATAGGGCAAAAAAGCTTGGATTACAACCAAGAATCAACTATCCAGTGAAATTAAGCATAATCTTTCAGGGGAGGAGATGGACATTCAACAAAATAGTAGACTTCCAAACCTTCCTGAAGAAAAGACCAGAGGTCAATAGAAAATTTGATCTTCAAATACAAGACTCAAGAGAGAGATAAAAAAGTAAACAGGAAAGAAAAAAAACATGCTATTAATAAGAGCAAATTGTTTACATCTCTACAAAGAAAGATGTCACTTGTCACTCTTGAGAACTGTATTGTTATTATGACATGTAAAAAGGGGTATACATAGACAGAGGGCATGGGCATAAGTTGACTTTGAAGTGCTAA